GAAATTGTATATATAACAAAAAGAATTAAAAGTTATACATATAAGATTATATTATGGAGAAAGGAGTAACAGTTCAAACAACAGACAGTATTTATTAAGTAGTTACTAAATTATGGGCACAGAATTAAACATTTTATACACATAGTTCTATTTTAATTTCTGAACAATAATAAGTACTTTTATTATTTCTCTTTTACTGATAAGAAAACAAGGTGAAAATATTAAGTTACTCATCTAAGATTGCATAGGAAATAATGAAATCAGTATATGAATCCTGGTCATAATTCAGTTCAATCTTTTAGGAACTATTCCTTAAATAAAAATAAATAATTGTTACATTGAAGTTGAACATACTCTAAAAGGGAAGGCGACAGGCTAGAATTTCATTTTTCTGATAGCTAATGTGTGAATTATTGCATAGTTCATGATTTTTACCAGTTAAATGATACTTTTTCTACAAAGGGGAAATAATAAGTTTCTTGATACAACAAACAAGAAACAAAACAATTTAAATTAAGTTTATGAATAAAGTTACATAATGAAAATGAAAACATCATATTTGCAAATGCAACTTTTAAAAAATATTTTAATACATTGCTTTATAAGTTAAAAATAATATTATTACTATGTGAAACATAGTAATATTTTGAATATAGGTTGTGTTAGTTCAAACACTTAAAATCATTTCCTAATGTAAAATGTTTTAATTGGATTATCGTATAATGAGTTATTGTTAATTTCAATAGCCAAATAAAGTTTCACACTAAAAATTGACTATATTAACCAATGCTCACCTGGGTAGAGGCAGGTTGACTCTTGTTTCTCCAGAATTTTGGCTTTATTTCCTTTGTCTAAAGTGCCCAGTGCCTGTGATGCTACAGAATTCAGACCAGTAATCACAACAGTTCCTTCCACATAGTTACTGACAGTAAGTCTTCAAAGCCCTTCAAAGCTAGTAAATTTATTGCCATTGTGATGACATGCACATTTAAATGCTGTTACCATATAATCTTCTGGCATTATGCTTGGATAAGTGAGGAATCTGATTGTGGAAACTTCAATTAATTCAGCTAAATTTAATACTACCTGACTTCTTGATTCTATCTGTACAGCTTGTGTATATACATACAACTTCAAAAATAAACTCTTCCCAATGGTAAAAGAAAATCAGTAAACAAGGTTCACCCACAACCTCCAAAATATTACCTCTTAAAATTCATCATCTTACCATAAGAAATTGAAGGTTCCTCTTATTATATAGCAGCTAGTCTGTCTTTTATTATTGTTTGCCTTTGATAATCCCTCTCTGAATTTTCTAGAGATTCAAATGTGAATTCAAATCCACCAGGGATCATTACCATATCCTCAAATGAGTATTGAGCAGTGCATTTCCCCAAAACACAACTAATATTCAAGGATTCTGTCAATTCTCAAGTGACCTTTTTCTTTAAGTAAGAATCAAAGCATTCTCATTTGATAATTATTGAGTGGGTAATAAACAATGTTTCATAGCTAACTATTGATTCTAGGTTTTCTTTGAGAATATTCAAATTAAAGAATTCTAAAGTAGAAATACAAAATGGTAACATTGGCATTACTCATTCAATATCTGTTTATCTTACAAGTATGCTGTAGACATTGTTAAAAGATATTCCATTAATAGGTACAATGAGGAATATGGGAATGGGTGACATTTAAAGTTGGATTTTAAATAATTGTTTAAAGTATGTACGTAGTATTTATGGGCAAATATAAAAATAACTTTCAATTATATAGAAAGAACTGTAAATTTAAAAGGTATGGATAGCTTAGTCTCCTGTAATTAATGTGCCTCCAAGATGACCACTGACTTATATGGACAATAGAGGAGGTAGAAATGAAACCTCAATTAACTCTCTTGGGAATCCTAATTTAGGAAGCCCTCCCTCAAGCTCCTGATACCTCCTTGATGGAGTGGTTGATCAATGATAATACTAACCAATTTTTATTTGAAGCTTACTCTGCCATGTGCTATGCTTAAGGCTTTGCAAATATTATTTGATCTTCACAAGGATTTGGTGAGCTAAGGATTCCCAATATCCTATTTTATAGGTGGGAGAGCTGAAGTTTAGTTTAACCTACTTGTTCAAATATACTCAATTGATAAAATTAAACCCAGGTTTCAAATTTGTGACAGATTTGATTTCAGAATGTGTATGTACTACTGAACTAACTATAGCCAAGATTCAAATCCCTTGTGATGACTACTGTTTCCAAAATAGCCCCTCATATACAGTTTTCTTTTCTTATGTTCAATACTCTGTCTAACAAGTAGGTCCTGAGCACAAGGCTAATACTCAGGATGGTGACTACTCTCATATGGAAGATTCCCCAAGATAGCAAACCTAAAGTGACTGGATTTGTTGACCTTACCTCCTAAATCCCCACAAAATGTGTCTGTTTCTCTTGATTTCTTTACAACTGCAGCTATATTGATTTTCTTACATTTATGACACAATTTTATATGACATCTAGAGTGAGTTATTAAGAATATTTTGAATTCTTCATTTTTATTGCTATTAATAATTGCATATAGTTAGTTAAAATGAGTCATAAAAGAAAGCAATGGTCCAGCACCCAAAGCTAAACCTCACTACCTGCAAGTAACTATTTTTTAACTTTCTAAAGTATTTCATAATTGAGATACTTCAGAATCTGAAGATATTACAGTTTTCCAAAGGCAAAAAAAAATTTCTCTGTTCTGTTATTTTCTTTATTTAATTTGAACACAAGCAACAGAAGAAGAAAATTAGTGTGTGAAAGTATCTGTGCCAGATTTTATTTGTTGAATTTATTATAGCTCAAAATAATATTAGATGCATTATCAGTAAATAAGAACATTTAATATTTTATTGAAATGAGAGAATACAAAGTAATAATTTCTCAAACCCCCCAAAAATCATGCTGTGAAATTGAGTTTGAAAGTTGTATAACAGTAGACAAATACAGTTAAAGTGGAATTGCACAGGTGAATAAGCCACAACCTCAGCACAAACAAGATGTAGTGGATTGGACTTCATGTACAACCCAGTCCTATGGAAACTTCAGTGAAGATTTTAACTCCAGAAATAAAGGACACATACATTCCCAGATGACTAGACCTCAATTAACTGGCTATTGTGTCTGAAGGTCTGCCCCTGGACATTCATTTCTACAATTGCAAAGAGAAATCAAACAAAAACTGAGGAGAGCATCCCTCTGAGGGGCCTAAGTGTAGGCCATTACCGTGCCTTTCAGAATGTACTTTGCTGATAAAACCAGAGAAGTAATAACAGAAAGTACACTCCACATACTCAACAGTCCACAATATAATTGCCTGAGCTAAGAGGACTCCAGCAACCTATAGAGAAAGCAAGAAACTCAGGCCCCAATAAAGTGCACACTGTGTTAACATATATTAATCGCTGCCAAAAAGGAAGCAAGGAACTATGGTATGAAACCCACTTGGAAATACATTTGACACCATACTAA